AATATGTGGATTTCATGGATGATTATTTAAATCGAGGACATATGGAATTGATTCCGGCTGCTGCAGGCGGTGAGGATCCCGCACGCTACAACTATTTGGCACACCATGCAGTTTTTAAGCCAGATAGTACTACCACACGTTGCCGAGTGGTATTTGACGGCTCTGGAAAGGATTCCACGGGTCATTCTCTTAATTCGCGACTGCATATAGGACCGCCTATTCAACGGGACTTAATTGGAGTATGCCTTCGATTTCGTCAGCATCGTTATGTATTTTGTGCAGACATCGAGAAGATGTTTAGAGGCATTTTGGTGTCGGACGAACATACACAGTACCAACGCATAGTTTGGAGGAAGGGATGAAAACGCTACGCTGGATCATTATCGACTGTTGACAGTAACATATGGATTAGCTTCATCGCCGTTTATTGCAGTTCGAGTTCTTAAACAGCTCTCGAATGACTATGCCGAATTGTATCCCACCGCTGCTGTCGTGCTCAACAGAGACGCGTACGTTGATGATATTCCTACTGGATGCGACAACATCAAGGATCTCATTGCACTCAAAGATGAATTGATTCTGCTTCTTAGCGAAGCTCAATTCAAATTGCGAAAGTGGAGCTCAAACTGTTACGCCCTTTTAAAGTCGTTGCCAAAGGAGATTTGTGAGTATCCACCAGAGGATTTAGAGGAAGACCGCTCAATTCGATTTGTTAAAGTCCTGGGATTGTGTTGGGAACCAAAACCGGACTATATTTTCTTCAAATTAGAAACCCCCGCATTTACGACTGCTCTTACTAAACGCATATTGCTTTCAGAACTAGCCAAGATCTACGACCCGTTGGGTTTGCTTTCGCCAACTGTTTTTCTGAAGATCCTATTTCAAGATAGTTGGCTAAGTCCTGTCGATTGGAATGAAGTACTACCGCAGCAAATATGTACACGATGGCAACAGTTTGCATCGGAAATGCATTTATTGGAAACTTATCGAGTTCCTCGCTACATATCTGCACCACATCAAGAAATGGAACTGCACGGATTTGCTGATGCATCATCTCAAGCGTATGCTGCCGTCATCTATAGCCGCGTCGAAGTCAACAATGGATATGCTGTCAAACTGATTATGGCTAAAACTCGCGTAGCCCCTATTAAGCCTATCTCCATTCCGCGACTAGAGTTAAACGCAGCTCATTTACTCTCTAAACTGATTTATCTGGTCAAGCAATCATTAACTGTTCCTATTTCCAGAATTAATTGTTGGTCAGACTCTGAAATAGTCCTGCATTGGCTATCTTCTCCGCCTAGGACTTGGAACACCTATGTTTGCAACCGCACTGCTGAAATTCTAGAGGTTTGCCCACGCAGCTGCTGGCAACATATTCGAAGTGGTGATAATCCCGCAGACTGCGCATCGCGAGGAGTACTGCCAAAGGACCTCGTGGATCATCAAATATGGTGGAATGGACCACCTTGGCTATCTCAGTCACGTTCAGCTTGGCCACCTGTTAAAGCTAAGTTTGTTCTGTCGACAGAAGAAGAGGCCTGCCTAGAGATGAAGGCTGAAACGAAAGTTAATCTACACATTTCCGACGACGGAAATTCGCTATCTTGTATGATCAACAAATCCTCCTCATGGTCCCGTTTATTAAGGATAGTCAGCTACTGCCTTCGCTTCGTTCATCGTCTTCGTGAGAGGAATCGACTTTCACCATTCCTATCGGCGTGGGAGCTACAATATGCACGAGCTAAGATTTTTACGCACGCTCAAGAGGAGTTCTTCAACGTGGAGTACAAGCAGTTAACTACCGGACAGCCATTGTCGAAGAAATCGAAGTTGATCCGCTACACACCCTTTTAGACGAGCAGAGAGTAATGCGTGTTGGTGGTCGCATCGATAATTCTATAGCTACTTATGACGCAAAGCATCCCATTCTCCTTCCTAAGGAATCTCCAATAGCTGGTCTGCTAGTTCGCTATCAACATGCTGCATTGTTACACGCTGGAGTCGAATACACGTTTCATAGTCTACGCCAAAGGTATTGGATTCTAGGAGCTCGGAACCTCGTCCGCAAAACTGTATTCAATTGCAGAACTTGCTTTCTGCAGCGAAGACACACGAGTTCTCAACTTATGGCTGATTTACCGGAGTTTCGAGTTCAACCCGCCCGTTGTTTCCTGCACACTGGATTGGATTATGCTGGACCTGTGTCAATCAAAACATCGACAGGCCGGACACCAAGATTTGGCAAAGCTTGGTTTGCGATCTTTGTCTGCCTATCTACAAAAGCGATTCACATAGGATTGGTCAGCGATTTGACGACATCCGCCTTTATAGCCGCTTTCAAACGCTTTTGGTCTCGACGTGGACCTATATCGGATTTATACTCGGACAATGGAACGACTTTCCATGGAGCCAAAAGAGATTTAGCTGAAATGCAACGAATGGCAATAGCTCAAAGTCAAGATGAAAAAATTTCAAGCTTCATGGCCAGCCACGAGATTAATTGGCATTACATTCCGCCATCTGCTCCCCATTTCGGAGGCATTTGGGAGACTGGTGTGAGATCCATAAAGCTGCACTTAAAACGAGTCATTGGCAGCAGTGCCTTGACATTCGAGGAGTATTCGACCCTGTTAATTCAGATTGAAGGGCTTCTGAACTCTCGCCCTTTATGCGCACCTAGCGATCACAGTCTTAACCCGCTAACTCCTTCTCATTTTCTAACAGGTCAGCCTCTCACTTCGGTACCAGAACCATCTTTCCTGGATGTAAATATCAACAGACTGCAGCGCTGGAGACAACTACAGGCCAAGGTTCAAGGTTTCTGGAAACGTTGGAATCTCGAGTATCTCAGCACGCTTCAACCTCGCACGAAATGGCATCAAGATGCTCCAAATGTTGCCGTGAACACACTGGTTGTGCTGAAGGAGCCCAATCAACCGCCAAGCAAGTGGATGCTAAGACGAGTCACCGAAGTTCATCCTGGCCAGGATCAGAGGGTTCGGGTGGTCACCGTTAAAACCGCCAAGGGAATCTACAAGCGCCCTATTACGAAAATTGCTGTGCTTCCTTTGAACTGAACCGTCGTTCACGGGGGCCGGTATGTTGGGAAATAGTTCGTCTTTATGTTGCATTTAAATAGTATTACATTTGCTTCTTTACTTTTGCCTATTTACCTATTACCTATTTTTACCTATTACCTATAGTACCTATTTTTGCGCACATCATTGTATTGTAACCATTTGGGAGCTTTAAGCTCACACGCATAGCCGAAAATTGCACTGCAATTTCGGCGTTAGTATTAGAACATCACGCGACATCACGTTTTTCTGTTCTTTTTCTGCACGTTTTTTGCAAGCCGGCCGCATTCGCTTGTTGATATTAACCGCAACCGCTCGCTGATAGCAACCCCGCTTAACGTATTGTAAACCCGCTAATTAGTGAAAATAAATGCATAAAACTATAATAAAAACCATAATACAGTCCACTATTCATGAAACACATGAAAGGACGAACCAAAAAAGTCCTTCAGCTTTTGCAGAGCGCCGAATTGTTCGAGAAGCGTCAAACTCACATTGTGCGGCTTCGAAAATTCATTAGAAAGTACATTTAAATGCAAATGTGGATACAGTACGGATATTTATACGACGAGCTGATCATCTGAAGAAATTGAAACTAAAAAAAAACCTCCATTAAATAACCAACGAAAGGATTCTCGCCTCGTCTTTGCACGTTAGCAGATGGAATGGCAAACCGTTGTAATTTCGGATGAAAAGAGCTTTAACTTGGATGGACCCGATGGTTTTTCATATTATTTTCATGATGTGCGAAAAGAAGAACACTTTTTGTCCCGTCACCATAGCCCATATCACCATAACATACTATGGCACATGCAAGCTGCAGATTGTGTCTTCCAAAATGAACGCAACGCATTACAAAGGCTTGAGGCTCGAGAAAGCCTTTCCTGAAGCAATTAATATCTTTGGACCATTATCGTGGACTTTCCAACAGGATAATGCCCCTGTTCAAAGCTTGGAAAAGCGGCAGCCAAACGTGGATCTTATGGAATGGTCCCCATATTCTCCGGATCTCAATATAATTGAGAATGTGTGGGGATGGATGCCAAAAAAAGTATATGAATCTGGGAGACAATACAAAGACATACAGGCATTAACAGATGCCATCAACACAGCCTGGAGTCAAATATCCTTAGATTACATAAAGGCACTATATGACTCCAATCCTAATAGGATTTACGAAGTTATATCCAACAATGGTGGCCACACACATTATTAAAAGAGTTTAATTTGACACATTTTTTAAAAATAAGCCTTATAGTTAATAAAATGGTTTTATATAGTTCGTTCACTTATATGGCATAATTCGTTCAGTTATATGGCAGCTATAAGGTATAGTCGGCCGATCCTCGCCGTTCCGAGTTATATACTGCGTGCAAAGGAAAGAAGGGTGAGTGCAAAGTGCAAAGAGTACATGCTCATATCAACTCAGGAGGTGATCCTGATCAAGAATATATATACTTTATAGCAGTTGTCGGCACCCCAATACATTGATATGATTTTAACGCATCGAATAGCAAAAAGTAGGCTGTGAGCATGACGTTTCACACATTTATACTGTGTGTGTGTGGCAGAGCTCCGGCAGAGAAATTTCCTATGCCCTCGGGATAGGGCCGTGCCGACCACTGCTTAATAGGGTCGGAGATGTCTTCTTCACTTCGTTGCACACTTTTGGACAAAATTATAATACCCTCTGCAAAGGTATAAAAATAGGGTCGACAGAATGGGCTACTGCGAAGCCAGCCGAGACAGCCATACATATGAACGAAGTGGTGTTTTATACATACACCGCAATGTTAAGGCTATCCAATAAAAAAAAATATTGAAAAATATATACTCGTGTTTTATTTATAGCGATTTTAAAATGCAAATCTTTCTTGGGCCACACTGTATTTATTTTATATTAATAATGGTGGTACTTACCAGAATCTGGGGGATGTAATATTCCATCTGTATTTTTTTCCCCTATTTTCGTGTTTGGTCTATGTAGTGTTGGTTCATTTTTTTTGTCTTTTCTATTTTTTTTCAAACGTAGACTCGGCGATGATGGGATCACGAGTGATGATGGCTCAGATATGTCAGATCTAACTATTTTAGTACTATCATTGTCATTTTCATCAGAGTCTGAGACTATGTCAATAACAACTGAAACTTCGTTAAATTTTTTATTGCATACATCAGACATACTAGAAAAAGAGTTTAAAGATTGTTTCATCAGCTGCCTCTGTGGCGCATTAACGGCTCCGCCGACAATGTTATGTGATAGTCGATTATGGTAATTATGGGCAGAAATTGTTGAGTTATTTTCTCTGCGATCCAAATCGATTATGTTATTGTAAGGGCTTGATAAGGTTGAATGAGCCTGAGAATGCATAGAAAGTGACTGAGTTTCTGACTGGTCAATATTCACATTAATATCTGAGAATATTTCCTGCGGCTGCATTGAGGAGGAAATTGGCAAATGAGAATTTATCTCAGGAAAATGTGGAATTGGCGGTGCGGATTTAAGAAAATCTAAAGATTCCGTCTGCTGAGAAGTTTGCTGCTGAGAATCAACAGTTTGTTGAATTCCCACCATTTCTCGCCACTTTTTCAAAAGTGACTTGGCACGACGCGCCAGATGCTCATTTGTAGTTCTCCGTCTTAGTTGATTAATATATTTTGCCAATCTGGTGGCTTCCAATTGTTCCTTCGTAATTTTTGTGCCTTCCAACGCACATATAACAGAAAGAACTGCATCCATATTAATGACCTAAAAATATATTCCTTTTATTACTTCTTTCATATTCAGAGCATATTTAACTTACATCATAGTTTTGATCAAGCGCCTGAGATAGGTGAGAAGTTAGTTGCTGGATTTGGTGTTGATTCATTTAAGTTTTCTGGTTTGTAACGCTTCGTTAATCCGAATACAAGGATTGATCACAATTGAACAGATACTTCGATTATTACAAGGAACTGTTTATATTAATATTTTTCAACTTAAAATGTGTTTACGAAGTTCAAAAATTTTAAAACAAAATTTAAATGCGTCACTACTTTAATATATGTATATATGTATTTATCTATATGTGACCAATGTCATATATTAAGATATATACTTCTCCACAATTAATTCATTCTTACATGGTAGAAATTCGCGCTTATATTTTAGACAGCTTTCTGTAAATTTTATGTCTTAATTGGCAGTTAATAGATGAAAATTTAAATTTATTTTAAACTTCTTCTATCGGTAACAATCGCCATTTTAAGAGACGTTTTAGTGTGACCATTTCTTAAAACATAAAATATACCCTTCTTCCAAGATACCCTTGTTCCGACAAAATAGCGTCGCTAAGTTAGAGTCGAAGCAAAGTGGTGGAATTGGAACACAGCCACGATTTTTTTTTTAAATTCTTTTTCTAGTAAGCCACTAAATTGAATACTAGAATTGTAATAAACTGAATGAATTATTGTTTTTTCTTACTTTGAGCATGTTCTACACTATTTGAGAAGCTAAAAGATGTGTTTAAAAATTGACCCCACATTCCATTCTTCCTATCTCAGGACCAACTAGAGGATGCGACAAGAAGCCAGATACAGCAGCTTATAACCCATTATTAGGTTGTAGAGTCGATGTAGGACCTCTTCAAGTATGTCTGGATACAAATCGCTCCTTACAATTTTGAAAAAATCGACTTACAGTTAGTTCCCCATATATTTTTACTGATAAGAGGAGAGGCAACTACAGAACCGAAACCGGTCTACAAAAAAAATCATTCATCTAAATCGAAAATAAAAGATAGCCTCTGGTACGCTTAATGGGACCTTCACAAAGGTGTCGATGTAGGACCTCTTCAAGTATTTCTGGATACAAATCGCTCCTTACAATTTTGAAAAAATCGACTTACAGTTAGTTCCCCATATATTTTTACTGATAAGAGGAGAGGCAACTACAGAACCGAAACCGGTCTACAAAAAACATCATTCATCTAAATCGAAAATAAAAGATAGCCTCTGGTACGCTTAATGGGACCTTCACAAAGGATGCACCACATTGCACGGTTACCGTTGTCAAGCTTATTTTATAAGACTATTTCAAAAGTCTTCTTCTAACGAGGGAAGAATAAGCGAGAAGAGAGAAATACCTGATCTAGCAACACAACGAAGCCATAAACGGCCTCAGTTCGAAAATTGAGTCCCCATCATACCATCCCCATAACACCTTAAGGTCTCATGTCTCACGAGAGACTTAATTACCTCCTCTCCGACACGGCCATCGGTCTGACATATACACATCCTCGAGTCTATAATAAACATCTGAATTTCATACCACTTTATAATTTTTATTGAATGCTTCCAAACAACTCAACCACATAATCTCAAGTTCATATAATGTTCATTTATATATTGTAACTTTATTTTTAACATTTCGGCTATTTTAACGGGCTTTGTGTTAGGCTATTTTAATCTCTGTTAGATTCTCCTACAGACCATTTTTTTCAAAATTTTTATTTCAAAACAAAAGATCAATAAAACGTTTCCAAATTGTGCATTAACCAGTTCAAGTCGTTAATTCGTAATCCAAAATACCATACATAACTGGACTTTTACAAGCCAACTTTTAAATTCTTTGCCAAACACATTGGCTTCACATATTTTCAAAAAAATTAAATTGTCCATCGCCCAAGAACCTGGCTTCAAAAATTCATTTGATCTAATTTCATAAATGGTGTTTAGGTGAGGGGCCGTTGTGCCGCTCAGCTGAAGAGCGCATCCGCGCTGAAGAGCGCACCCGCGCTAAAGAGCGCACCCGCGCTGAAGAGCGCATCCACACTCGCCCCTCTGTGCCCTCTCTTCTCGCTCGTTGGTTGTCGTCGATCTCTGTTTTTGTACTAGTTTCTAAGTTAAGTTAGTTATCTCATGTAAGCAGCCGAATAAAGCTGACCGCGTTATACCATCCGAAAGACGCCCCCGACTTCTTATTTCAACATTTCATGTTTTCTGGAATCTTTGGCGGCAGCAGCGCCCCCCTACAAAACATTGGTCCTTCGAGCCGGATAATTCCTGGATTTTCTTCTGCCAGCAGTTCTCGGCATTGTTCCGCCAAAAGATAAGTACATTTTTCCGTCTCCATCTCTCTGCCGGTCTTCAGAAGTGATCCGAACATTAAATTTCGTTCACACTGCTGCAAGATTGTTTTTCCCTCCGTGTCAACTCCAAGTCCGAGTTTTCCGACACAACGGCAGGTTGAGTTTTTCTAATAATCTATAATAATCATAAAATTCTGCAAATTTTTCCATCCGTCTCCGTTTTGTGTGCTGCCCATATTCCTCGCCGTTTTCGGCCTCTCCGTTATCCATTCGCTTGCCAACGGTCGAGGCATATGTGCATTCACATACATACATACGCACATACATATTTTTTTTGGTGCAATTAATCCGCAAAAAATTCGCAAGTGAACAGTGAAATTGTGTGGTGACAAAAAGAAGGCATAATTAATATTGGCCACCGGTGTGAATTAGTTCCGGAATTTCCAAATTCACCGAACAGTCCGCCGCTGTCGTAATATTTGTTTTTTATCTTCCTCAATCAGTGTCTTTTTTTACACCACATAACTTTTCTGTTCCCCCAATTATACAGTCCACTTATCAAAGCTCCACTGTGCCAACATATGCCCACATGCCCTTACATATATCCGTACCTGCATGCATGTCCATATATTTTCTGCCTTCAATTCCAGGAAATATATAACCGATAAAATTTAACATATACAGTCTTATTTAACATATGGAAGCTCTACTGTACCATCATATGCCCCACATGCCCTTGCCCTACTTGCATGCATGTCCATATAATTTCCAAATATTTTCTGCCTCCAATTTCAGGAAATATATAGCCGATAAAATTTAAAAAAAAAATTTTACATTTTCTAAAACCAACAATTATAAACCGCCATTTCACTACAAATCCGTGATTGTGTCGCTTAAATTCTCGACCTAGCCGTGTTGTGTTTTTCGGTTCTGTTTATTTTTCTTTGAGGTACGTACAGGGTGCCGACGGCATAACCGGCTGCATAACAAAATAGATTAAAAAATCAATTAATTATAAATTTATGTATTTATAATTATAACTACGAAAATTTATTTAATTCTTATTTTCCGTTCGAGCAAAGGGCCAGGTTTTTTAATTCACCTTTCCGGCCACTCAATAATTAAAGTCGAAGATTTAATTATCGGAAAATTGAAATTAATTAATTTAATTATCCACCTTCTGTCCGAATAGAGCCGCGGTTTTTTAATTCCATCTCCCCAGCTTCGTGTTAATTAAATTCAATTAATTAAATATTTAGGTTTCAATTCCACCGTTCCAGCTTCGTGATAATTAACCTCAATTGATTAAAAATTAAGATTTTCAACTCCACCCTTCTGGCTCCATCATATTTAAATCCGACAGTTAGCCAAAAATTAATTATTTATATTTTTGTGTGTTAAATTCAAGCCAAAGTTAAGTCCACCTTCCGGCTCCGCAAATTCGAAAATAGTTAAGAATTTAATATCTCAGTATATATTAAATTCAGTACGAACCACACAAGTCGAAATATACATACTATACATACGTCATCATTTTTTTCCGAACAAGCACGAATTTTCCGGTACTTTTTCCATTTTTCGTGCCTCCAACTCTGCTTCTACTCCGCATCAGGCAACATCCGCCTACAATCCGAACAAACCTCGTCTCCTTTTGGGTTTTTCTGGTGCCTGAAGTTTTTCTTTCCACATTCAAATTGTGCCGCACACGACTTTCCTTTCCACATCGGCGCCACTAGTTCGCACTTGCTCCTTGTAATTGCCTTTCATCCGCGATCTCACCGTTCTCATCACATTAGTGCGACCGGCCACCACTTCGTACGGGGCCCCTGTTGCGCGAGTCAGTCGACAAGCGCTGACCAGCGAATTGGACTCTGAGAATGCCCACGGGAGACGACAAAAATCCGCGTTCGATCCCAGCCATCCGTTTGGACAGATCTCAATCCGCATCTCCGCGGACGCCTCTTTTGAAGCCTAAGGCTACCAGTGCCAGTCCAAGGGCAAGGAGTGACGAATCCGTCAATACAACCCCCGGTCCTTCACAGAGGCAGACTCACTCCGTTGCAAAAATGGCTCCAAGTGCGGTCGAAGTGGCGTTGAAAAAGTTCATCGCCACAACAGATCGAATTATCCAATTTGAGGCTAACATAAGTACTCCGAGCGCCCCAGAAACGGAAATAGGCTCCCAATACATGTGCGAAGTTCATCGGGACCAAATTCAGGCACTATGGGAGAAGGTGGAGAAGAGCTATGAGAGCTGCTCCGATTTGCTAGCCGTGTCCGACGACAATGCGGCCGCCTCGACAGTGCTGGAAGCGAAGTACAGCTACTGTTACTCCGTCTATTCGAGATGTATTGCCCTGCTTCGGGAGAAAATTGCTTCCCAATCCACTCAGGCTCCCGTCAATGTCCACACGCCCGCGCCTACAGGCTGCCGGTTACCTCCGGTGGATACCGAGGTCTTCGCGGGTGATTATCTTCGGTGGCCCATCTTCAGAGACTTGTTTACGGCCATTTACATCCAAAACTCGCGGCTCACCCCGGTAGAGAAGTTGTTCCACTTATTGTCCAAAACAAGTGGTAACGCCCACGCCATTGTTTCTAAGGCTCCGCTTACCCGTGAGGGGTTTGTCGCCGCATGGCAAAGCCTCACAGACCGCTTTGAGAACCGGCGGCTATTGGTCAACAGCCAGTTGAAGATCCTTTTCAACATCCAGGCTATTTCTCAAGAGTCCGGGGTCGCGCTGAAGGAGCTGCAAGCTACCATTCAGAGTTGTTTAACAGCCCTAGAAATGCCCTCCGTTAATGTTGAGGCTTGGGACTGTCTCCTGGTATTTATGATTTCGTCAAAGCTCCCCAAGGTCACACTTTCTATGTGGGAGCAATCCGTAAATAATAATAACGAGAATCCAACATGGAAGGAATTAGATAACTTCCTGACAGAGCGCCATCGCACTCTGGAGGCCATCGACGACGTCAGGCCTAGTGGCTCCGTGCAATTTCCGCCAAGGTCGGGACTTCCTACTGCCCCTGCTCGGAGGCTCACTTCATACGAGACTCGAGTGGTTCCGGGCCAAAAGGGCTGCGATCTCTGTTCGAGGGAGGACCACCCCATTCGCTTATGTCCGCGTTTCCTAGAAATGGATGTAAATGGGCGCTCTGACTACATAAGGAGGAAGCAGTTATGTTTAAAC